TTTAATTATATTAATTTAATTTTATATAACAAATAAATGATAATTGAAATTTAAGGAATGTTAGGAGCACTTGCTCCTGTACTCTCCGACGGGCACTCGCCCCATGATTTTGACACAACAATCCTACTTTTAAAGAGATAGATTGGTTGCTGATTAAGAGTTCCAAATATATATATATATTTAAAAATTTCCTTTCTAAGCTCTGGACCGGAGATAAAATCAAGTTTTAGTTTTTTATTTTAATAAATTTACAGGTCTTGAATAGTTTGTTTCAATCCAGTGATTTTGGACCCTAAGTTAGGACTATTCACCTCTTATAAGTGACGTATTTGTTACTCATAGAACTCATTTTCCTCTTCTCCCATATATACATGTAAATAATGCCAAAATTATTTTAAAAAAAATTATAAGTTTTAACCTCTCATCTTATATTATAATACTTTTAACTATTTATGTTAATAAGTTTATAAGTTTAACCCCTCACTTTATATTATAACACTTTTAATCCCTCATTTATACGAATTAAAAAAAAATAATCCTTATTTAAAATCAAGTTATAACGTTTTATTAGTTTTGTTAGTTAATTGTTAATTTTGTTAATTGACTGTCAGCATTCTATTAACAAAACTAATAAATTAAATTAAATTTAAATTTCGTGTTTTCTATAATGAAATACTAACAGATGCTAATAATCAGTTAATAAAGTTAACAGTCAATTAATAAAACTAACAGAATGTTATAATTTGATGTTAAATGAGAACTATTTTTTTCATTTTGTATAAATGAAAGGTTAAAAGTATAATAATATAAATAAAAGGTTAAAATCTATAAATTTATAATAAGTTAAAAATATCATAATATAAAATAAAAGATTAAAACCTAAAAATTAAGGATTAAAATAAAAAACAAAAAATAGGTTTTTGCCCCTGCACTAGAGGCTGCCGAGCCACTGTACTCTGACCGCTGGATCTCCAACTTTCTCTTTCCATTTTTCTTCTACATCTTAGGCTTTGTTTCTTTTTCTTAGGGTTAGTGGATAATAGATGGTGATCACTGGATAGTAAATAGTGAATAACGGATAATGAAAAGTAAGTAGCGAATGGTAAGTAACAGATTCGATAAATATAATTATTTGATTACATAATAGTTAGCGATAGTTGTTTAACATTAAATAACTAATAAAGATATATTTAAAAACAAATAAGTGTATCTTTTAAAATATTTTTATTTTTTATTATTAAAATTATTAA